TGTTTTCCTAGAAACTACTTAGACTGAGATCTGGCCACCTCAACATGAGTGATGGTTTTGGCCATTCTGTGGCCCATAGATTTCCTTTGAAAAGGGCAATCGCCAAAGTTCTGCTCATTTCTGTAAGCGTAAGGGTGGGCCTCCTACTGACAGTTTTTGCAGAAATGTGGAAGCTGTTCAGTACACAGAAAATCAAGAATCTCCATATTTTGGGATTTTGAAGGCTACGAAAAAAAAGTCGAAAAAAGCAAATTATTTTGCATATTATTTTTTTTCCTTTTCGCAAATATTCTTTATTTGAGCCCTTTTGCACTTTTTTTGTACTACTGGTTTGCGGTTACAAGATAGTCAACTTATCATTCATACCGACAGATTCTGAAGGAATTTATGATCAGGAAATACGAGGTTTCCGAAAAAAAATTTTTTTGCTTATTAATCCATATTTTTCCACCGATTTGCGACAATAATATAAATTAATGCGCACTGCATAGAGCAAGGTTTGATGCTTCTGAGAACTTTGCCGCACTGAAAAATATGGATTTCTTAAAAAGTTATAGCACGTCAAAGTGAGAACTCGCAAAACGCACATTATTTTTGCACCAACCTAATATTTTCGAAAATCGAGAGTTAGAATGATTCTCCCATTCGTTTTATTTTCAAAATCCCCTTCGTCAAAAAGAAGCAAAGATGTTATCAGAACGTAAATGACACTTTTTTCTAATAGGATTTTTCGTAAGCGAACGTTTTAAAGTAGGGAGCGATTACGATTTTTGAAATCAAAGCGACAGAGCTTTCCATTCAATCTGGTTTTAGCGTTGAAAACCGTTCATGCTCACAGTAAAAAGATTCTGATCAGCGAAATCAACTTTATTTTGACTGACTATATGGTTTCGTTGCAAAGTTCGTCCAACCTTCTTGGAGGAGTAGACAAATACCAAAAAACGCTCCAAGTACATCTTATAGAAGCTGTTCCTATAGCAATTTAGTCTGTTGGGACGGTAAACGGCAAATTTCTCAAAAAAATCACGAGGAGACCACTAGCCACTTCCGTTAAGTCTTAGGCCCAAGGCATACCTCACGCGATTCGGCCGAATCGCCACTTTCACGTGACTTGGCGATTTGCCAGATTTCTACAAATTTATCGTGCGCGTTTCTAGGATGCATATTTGGGTAGCTTGTATAAGTTGTTACAATTGGAGCAAGTTCTGAACAAAGATAGCATTAACGACGAGTTACGAAGAGTTGATGTTGTGCCAAATCGCGCAGCAACCGGAATCGCTCGAGTTATGCCTTAGGCCTTATGCACCGCTTTTGTGCGTCAGACTCTTTCACTCCAATCTCGGATCCGAGCAATTGCCCCTTTCGAGGCGCTCGTTATGCGCCTATCTCTAATCACAGCCCTTATGAATGATCATTAGAAAGTATGTGCACGAACTTCTTCCAACTTTGTACAGTCTGTTCCTATTGGGACTAGGATAAATGCGGCGTAAACTTGCGCGCTTGCAGCGGTAGGGTTCGCACTGCATATGCGCACTGTCAGAGAGAGAAAGAGAGAGAGAAAGAAAGAAAGAAAGAAAGAAAGAGAGAGAGAGTGAAGAGGTTGAAGAGAGGGAGAGCAGACAAGCAAGCCGCAGCCGTGACGCAAAACCGTGGCGATGAGGATGCGCATCGATATTCGGCCTGAAAAGGATTGGGACAGACTGTAGTCAGGAAGGCGAGCGAAAATGGAGCGCCTAGCGTGGAGATGAAGAAGAGAGGTTGACGTCGAGCTCGTGTGCAGTTGCGTGGACATCATACCTTCGATAGTCTAGAGACAGGGCGCCAAAAGTGAAGGTTGTTTGAACATCTGACGTCACAAATGGTGAAGGTTGTTCAAAGAAGATCAGAGAAGAGAATATGACGTAAAACAGACATAAAAAGCAAAAAAAAACGGCTGTAAACCGGATAAAAACGCTGCAATAAGATTTGAAATCTTTAATTTGGCGGCTTTACAGAGTGCAAGTTTTCGCTCCAGGACCACCAATTCGCAACACGGGGTTTGATTTTTGATGCGTCCTTTAAATGTTACCCCCGCGCCGTCCCTCTTGTACCCTGCGACGTTGTCTAGATTCTTCCGCTCATCATTCTGAGCAAGTATCGTCCAAGCTGGAGAAAATTCGTTGCGAAACTACTGAAAAAGAATAAGGTAAAGAAAAACGCATTTTTTAGTAATTTTCACAAAAAAAGCGGCATAAGCAAAGAAATAAGCTCGGCGACGTTGTCTACATTATAGACAGAAACAAGACCTATCGACTACACAAAGAAACTGCGTGAAAAGAGTCAAACTAGGAGAAAAACGAGAGTTTTTCAAAAACAAGGTTTTTGCCGGTTTTCTTGTTTTAATCATAAAAAGGAGTCCTGCGACGTTGTCAGCGTGAAAATAGAGATCAAGAGCTTCAAAATGATATATAGCTTGCTAAAATTGGGTTCGAAACAGCGAAGAAAAGGGTACCAGAGCCAAATGCCCCGCGCCCCGCGCTTGGGGTAGCGAGGTAGCGCGCAGCGCGCGGAGACGCAGACGAGCAGCGGAGAGAGACCAGAGCCGGCGGGGCATTTGGCTCTGGTCATTGATCTCCGCGGGGTCATAACGAAACCCTATAATATTATATATCATTGTGATCCTCATGACACGTCTAGGAGCACTGACAACGTCGCGGGTCTTGAATCTCACTCCACAACGAGATAGACCAGCATTTATGTGGCAACTCTCTGCGCAAGATTTCAGCGCAGTTTCTCGTTTTTGTTGAACTCCAGCGGCTTTCATGAACCTCCAACGCTCAATCGCAGTCTATAGGAAGGTTAACTGATAAGTTTTATCCCAATTTCTAACTGAATTTTTGAAGAAAAACCCTCTTTTCAGCAAAAAAGGCCATGAAAACGCAATCTTTCGGTTTTTTTGAGCTTTTCTTTGGATGTCACTACTATAGTTGCCTCATTCACATTCATCCTTACATGGTTAGTCATTAGTTATGTCATAATATCCGGGGCTTCGCCCCGGATAACTTGTACTCCTCTCCAGGTGAAGGTTGTGTCCTCTCATGACACTCAAAGTGAAGGTTACCAGAGTACGTGGCTCTATGTATCGAAGGTATGGTGGACATAGATACATCACATAATCTGATGCGCGCCAGTTCCATCGAAATAAACAGCTAATCAGCACAACCTTCGACGCGCTAAGCATCTACTAATTTTTCTGAGTATTTTTTTTGTCCGCTTGGCGTCCAGACGAGATTGTTTACTATTAGATTATTTTGTTTAGGGCAATGAAGTCTCAGTTAGTCGATCTTCGTTCTTAAGTTGTTTTTCACTTGTTTTTATGTTACATCTCATTTGCTAGCTGTTTTTTTGCATGCCTTTATTTGATGGTTTTCAGCACGAAATTTGCTGCTTTGTCGTTCATTGGCTGCGCCTCACTTGCTCTTCCGTCGGAGTGAGGAAGCTATTCGGTGCTGTTATTAGTGGAATGGCACATATTTGAAAGAGCAGAACTACCTTTTTTGCAACACCTTTTCCGATATAGGCAACCAATTACCCACTACTTTATCATTGAAATATAAACTCAATAATACGTTCTACACAAGAGCAACATGCTGTTTCACTGAAAATTGTACCTCTGACATTTAATTTGGTGAAGACAGTGGCGCTGTGCTATCTGCAGTACTCAAGAAACAATTGTATTTCATCTCATTCATATCATGTTTCGGACTTAGAGTTTACAATCACAACAAGACAGAAGTACGCTTACAGTGGAGGTCCAAAGAGAGGGAATTTGCTTATCGTTTTCCCGAAACGCTGCTCGCATTGCGCACAATTGCGGTAGATAGCGGCTCCCTCAGTGGACGGATGGTGCAGTTTTTGCGGTTCATAATTTGAAGATAGTTGGTTCATTTCTGTCTGGTTTGATTTGCAATCTGTTTTATTTGTATAGCTATTGTAAAAAATTGAAAAAAGAAAGAAAGAAAGTGACCAGTAACAAGATACCACATTTTCCGGATGCTTGACACCTGCAGACAATTGATGATAGTGAAGACAAAAAGAGTTGACAGTAAACCTTTGATTCAACAGGCTTGGCGTAGGGAAGGCGGGGCTTTGTGACCTAGTTAAGGCTGCTCGCGCCTGCGACGCAGTTTGCGTCTCTCCCACGCGGCCGCTCTCTGATCATTATCTAGCCTTAAACAGGTCAGAAGCCCTGCCTTCCACCCGACAAGCCAGTTGAATCAAAGGATGCAGACAGTTAAAAGTAAAATACTTAGGTAATTTCGAGGGCACGGTCTCTATTCCAAATCAGGAGGATCCGCTAGCTGAGTGAAGGGTAGGGAGCAAAATGAGGGTGGAGAGTAACAGAAGCAGCTAACAAATTCTGAATCCTGTACAGAGAAAGTTAATTTCAACTTTACATCTAAGTATGTTGAAGTCACATCTGAAAGTGCAAAGTGGCATTAACAGAAAATAAATATTCTCTTCTTTTGAAAGTGCAGAATTTCCTACGAAAAAAAGGTAAAATCTATTGTAGAACTTTTGTCAAAATTGTACAATGTCTACAGCATAAAGAGCTCGTTGCACCTGCTATCAACTGAAGATGATTATTGAGCAAAAAGCGAGATGAGACTGTCCTTTTGATACACTCACCTGTTAATTATACATTTTTTTAACGAAATCTTTCTGACAGTGACAGTAATCTGCATATCTGTTGTCTTCACCCATTATCGATGCAATGAAATTCATAGTCTGGGATTTCATCGGCACTATTTAAGCTGAGTTCTTTACATCGAATCATTATTAAATTAACAGCACAGCCTCATTCAAGCCTTATTTGGATGGGACAAATAAAACATACAAATACTCTTTCCTCTTGAGCCAAAATTTACTCCAACTACTCTTCCAAAACAAACTGTTTCCTTAAATGCGGAATTTGTTTGTTTTATGGTACACTTGTCACGTTCAATATATCCTAATATACAAATTTAGACGCATGCTTGGGTGCAGCCCATTCAAGATGCTGGCCATCACTGCGGTATGATCCTCTTTTTCATTATCACTAAAATTACCATTAATTAAATGTGTTTAGTTACTTCTAATCGTGCAATACGTATCACCAACATACGGTGAGATTTTGATCTAGAATTTTATAGAACAATGCGATTTTGCTCACTCATAATGGATTAGTTTCGGAACTCATCGTCTTATCAGCACAAATCAAGCGCACATTCAGGTGCATGCTTTGATGCCGTCCTCGAAGATGCTATAGTAAAAGCCCATAATGACCTGAGATATGATGTTGCGACCAAAAATTTAAATGCCAAAATTTATGGAGACATTCCAGGAACGAAGAGTTTGTTCAACTTGGTAGGCATTTATTGCTCAATAATTCATCCGGTACCTTCCTAAGAAAAAAGGGTAGGAGAGGGATAGTGAGTCATAAGCCCTCCCTCCCCCCCCCCCCCCCCCCCCGACCACGCTTAGGATTCTCAAAGGACGCGTCAAATGATAAAAACAAATCATGCGGTTGTCACTAGTTGGCTGAAGGGGCTTCTATTTAGAGTCTAGAACTCATTGTCCTACAAACACTTCAGTCATGAAAGCAATTTCATTAAAGGCAAGTGCCGTATTTTTAGGAATACGATTGCGGCTTCGCAAATCTTGCCGAAGCACTTATACCGAAGGACTGCCTTAGACCGGCTCTCGACTATTCTTCAATGGGATACGGCAGTAATTTTAGAAAGTTTGTAAAAAAGACTTCCGCACTTATGTATAAATCATGCCACTTTATTCAGGTTCCGCACACCCAAAAGAGTTGATGAATCAGATATAAATTATCTCGCAGAATATTACAACATAATCGTACAAGAATGGGCTATGAAGGACATTGTTCCTCTTGATTCTAATGCTGTATACAAGGATAAACGCATGGAAGCTTTTGCTAACGTGAGTCTTTACTGGTGGCTCTCTTGAAACAGAATCGATTTTTACGGTAGTACAAAAAAAACTTGGAGAAAAGGAGAGAGAAAAAGAAATAGAAGGAAAAAAGAAAAAAGCGAAAATCTGTGCTAGAATGCTAACAAAATATCTGCAACATTTTCACAATATTTGCTCCCGATTTTCTACCAAGCTAAGCGAGGCCCATGAAGGACCGAGAGAAGAAAATCACCACTGTTTCAGATGGTTTATCACAAAACTATTGCGTTTGGATGCAAGCACAGAACCTGCGATGACACCACAATGGCTATCGCATGTGTGTACGAATCACTGTGAGTGACTTTCTATCTGCCTTTTTTTACTTGTGAAAAGGTATTTAGCGTACAATAACAGTATAGATCGCCTTTTTAGACCAAAGATTGGCGAACCACTTTTCGTGCCAAATCCACAAGCGAAAAATAAGAAAGGATGTACAGCACATAAGACTTGCAAAGAGGTTAGACCAGGAACCAAATGTATGCAAAATCCAGATGGTACATTGGGACCCCTCTGCGTACTCCATGACAGTGAGTTCCTAAATTTTTGATTATTATAGCGAGGTAAGGAATGCCTGTAAAAGTAAACCGTTGAATTTAATTGTTTTCACGGGCGATTTCCCGTAAAATACAATAGGTTATTTAGAAAAATCTTCGTGCATAATGATATTCTAATTGACTCATTATTCGCTAACAAGGAAGCTGGTCTCAATGGAAGTAGTCTTTTCAATTATTTTCGTACTTACTAAGCTTCTATCAACTGCAACGATTCCACGAAAAATCTAATATATAAGGAATCGCGATGCCAATTCAAAAAACATCAGATAGCGGGAAACCCAGTGTGATCCCGAAGCGCGGGAATGCAACCCTAGATAATTACTGGTTCACTAGCACCACCGAAAAAGAACGCGCAGCCCATACAAAATGGTCCAGAATTGCTCAAATGGTCTATTTATCATTAGGTACTTTAGGCAATAGATACCTCTTCGAGTGCTGGAGCGACTGTAACAATTGCTCTTACCTACATTTGCATTTTTTGCTCTCTCCTTCTTCTCTGCAGCTCCCGTAATTTGTACTTGTTCAACCTAACCACTTGAAGGTTTATACTATCAAATTGAAAACTGCATATTATTGGAAACCAGAAAGATGACACGTTTATTCTAGGAACAACTCCTGGCCATTGTGAATGATTTCTGGAAAGTTCTCAAATAAAATTCCTAGTCGCTCACAGGCATTCCAATAGTCTTTCTAAAATAATTCTTTTTATCCATACTCTCATGACCACTGTATTTCTAGTTACAACCACAGCCTCCACTGAAAGCACCACAACTTCTGCAACAACAACACCCACGACTACATCGACGTCTACTTCAACCACGACATCTACTTCGAGCACAACGACTACAACGACACCTACGACTACTTCGAGTACAACAACTACAACAACACCTACGACTACTTCGAGCACAACTACCACTTCTGCGACATCAACAACCACATCTACAACAACTTCCACTTCAAGCACAACAACAACTACCGCGGTTCCAACGCTGATGACTGCGGAGATGCGAGAGGAATTGCTTGGAAAGCTGAATCATTATAGGTAGGGGCATCTTCGTGCACTATAAGTAAGCGCGAAGAGTTTGAAAGATGAGGACTGATTTCCATTTGCAAGTTGTTGTTAAAACTAACTATCGAAATTATGGAAGTAAGTGTTTTGGAATAGGATCTCTTGCGAGCAAAGATGCCCTAAATAGTCAGCTTTTATTATTATGTATTTTCGACCGCCTTTGAATACTACTGCAAAGCTGCTGTTATAATATCATGTTAAAAGCTGTGGTAGTCAAAAAATTTATTGATTTTACGGTAGATCGGAGCTGGCTAAGGGAAATGTCAGAAATGGAATAGAAGGAAAAGCCAATCTTCCGGTAGCCAAGGATATGTACGAAATGGTATGCTCTTACAAAGTTACAACCCTCTGCAGTATTTTGAAAATTAAAAAAAATTCTTCCATTTTTTGGATACGCTGCAGATATCTCTACCAATGCAAACTCGTCCTTAACAAGAGTTGTCAATTTTTAGCGATATGATATGGACCTTGAAAAAGAAGCTCAAGCCGCAGCTGATAAATGCGATGCCACATCAGAAGTGCAATCAAGGGATGGCCAAATTGCTCAGCTGAACGAAACGTCATTTACCGAAAAGGAAGTGCTTCTAGGGGTGGGAATTATGTTATTTGGCAAACGTTATTCAAAGTAGCTTTTATTCTAGACGCAAGAATCATGGTTTTGGCAAATATTGAAAAACGGCATGAATTATCAGATGCAGTACACAGAAACCTTGGAATCGAAGCCTTCTTCACCAAACGCATTCACTCGGGTACGTAGTCTGACTACTACCACTCCGAAAGTTTACCGAAAAAAATTGTTACGTATTTTTTACTTTCAATCTATTTAGATTGACTCATTATTTGAACGTTTACGGAAGGTTGCTATAAAATTCAAAATCTCTGCTGGGGTACTCAAACGATATTTCCGAATCTACATGATGGAACAAATTTCTGATGGATTGAAAACTCCCTTGCGCTATCACCCCTTTTTGAAGCCTTTTGATCAATTTCTGTGGAAAATGACCCTAAAAAGCGTCATAAAAGGGTAAAAAAGGGGAGAAAAACCAAGAAATTAGAAGTAAACTTTATGAAAGATAGATGCTTGCACAATCGCCAAAATTGGGTTCGAACTCAAGTATTGAGCTATGTCTAACAGAATTTCGCTTAAATTTTTATGCTAACCTCGCAAGAACTTTGAAGTGATATAGCTCCAGTTAGAGAAAAAACTGCTTCAGAGTGTTTCAGAATTGTTCAAATCATGGAACGAGACCAAATCAACTAAAAACAGTACATGAATTTTACACTCGTTTTTGCATGTTCATTAAGCCCCATATTTTGTCTCTATTAATGATAGACCAGGGATCCATCTATATTCATTTGTTCACAATGACTAAGTCTTTACATCGCAGATGGGATGGGCTAAATCATACAAAGTCGGCTGTGGAATGGCACACTGCAGCGCTGGCACTGCTATCATCTGTCGCTACGATCCACCGTAAGATTTGATTTGCGATCACCTGTACTTGTTCAAAGCGAAAACAGCCTTATTGTATCTTTCTTGATTTTTATGCTCAAACAAACGCCTTCGCCTTGCATGCGAACATTTCATAAATATACTTTGCAGAGGTAACCAATACGGTCAGTACGTTTACACGCCCGGCAGTGAAAGTGACCTCTGCGCTTCCTGCAGTGACCCGTGCAATGACGGACTGTGCCCACCACCAATTAATTGATTGGCTATTATTTCCAACAAATAAGAGCTATTGAAAATAAAATTTTCGTATATTGATTATGTGAAAATCAAAAAAAAAAATCTTATACGAAGCTGAATCTCTGTTTGTCTGTGTGTGTCTGTCTATCTGTACGTATGTTCCGAATAGAAAATTCCATTTCTGAACCGATTCGGACTACACGTATCACACATGTACTTCTGAAGAGCATGCTGATTACGAATATATTCATTTACAAAGCGGGCGGAGCCGGCTTTGCCAGCTAGTTGCTCATATAGCCCAGACACTTGGTGGTACTCCAAGATAATTTTCAAAGGTGAAACAGATAAGATGACTGAAAAGGAATGCAGTTCTGTACTTGTCAGCCTACATTACCAAACGCCTCTTTTGACTTGCGGCGTTCAGACCTTGTCTCAGCACAACGTACTTCAAACAACTCGAAGTGGTAGACGCCAACCTTCAATCCACCGTGAAGTCAGCAGTCCGCGCGACTGCGATGGACATCACTGAGGGCTGCTCAGTGAGTCAGGGACGTTTATAGTCTCAGGATAAGGATGACACGGAAAGAAAACGTTCTGTAGTCATGATCGGAGTTCCTGAAAAAGGAACCTCGCTACTTACTTTAGAGTGAATCATGATCGCTTATGTGTCGAGCAAATATTGGACTTTCTTGGAATTGAATGTACCCCAGTCTGTGTTTATAGCATGGGAAGACCACATTCTTCCTATAATAGACTCCTTAAAGTAGTTCTTCCCTCCTCACACTTTGTCAGTGTGCTCCTACGTCGAGCACCTCGTATGAAGAGGTTTCCTTATGCCTCTATTTTCATAAGGTCTCTCTTCCCAAAGAAGAGAGGGAAAAACTTCGGAAAGAACGAGTGGCTCGATGTAGTGTAAATCGATCGATGACCTCAAGTCAGTCGGCAGGAGCAGGAATTGTTTGTAATGATACTATTGATGTATCTACCATACCAGCTCAGACGGATGCTCATTTTAGTAATTCTTTGAATGTGTAAAACTTCCTCGGACTGTGGGTCATTGTTAAGCATGTTTTTTGGCCAATGCGAGGTCTCTTTGCAGAAATATTGACGGTCTCGACTACGTTATTAGGCGGGAATATTTTGCAGTTATAGGGATCACTCAAATTTGGTTAAGTGAAAAAGTCAATGATAGCTCCCTCTTTGGCAATCTTCAAAAATATTTAATCCACAGATGCGACCTTGCGTTCGGAAGAGGAGGAGAAGTGCTACTTATTATTAGGCGTAATTTAAATGCTCATTTGGTCTTTAGCGAATCCGAACAGGACGGCTACGAAATACTTTGCGTTGACATCGCCTCCTTTAAACCATCGCGAATTGTTCTGGTCTACAGAACACCCTCCTGCAGCGCCAACAAAACAGAACAGTTACCCAAGGTGATCACTGATCTTTTGGGTTGCAGTAATTCCTTGGTTCTCATAGGCGACTTCAATTTCCCTAGCATCGATTGGGACAACCCCTCTGCAACTGAAAACCATGGTGCTACTACCAAGAACTTTTTAGACATGTGTAATATATATGGGTTATCCCAGAAAGTAGTACACCCATACCCGAGGCCATAATATCCTAGACTTGATCTTGACAAACGATGATGACTTGATTGAAGCTGTTCGCGTAGGGGTTCCGTTAGGTCTAGTGACCATGCAACAATCACATTCTCGCTAAAATCCGCTAACGCTCAGCCAGGGTACATTTCGCGCAGAGATTACAAGAATGCAGACTTTAAAAATTTGATCAAGTACTTAACTACCATTGATTGGTATGGCTCTTTCAACTCTATCGATGACATAGGTACAATGTATGAATTGTTTTTGTTTGTGCTTCACCACGCCATCTCATTATACGTCCCCCTTGTTTCGGTTCCTTTACGAGCAAAACACCTGTCAGGCTACCTTCGAAATCTTTATGATAAAAACGAGTGTGTTTGGAGTAAAACAGCCTCTAGTGGTAACTTTGAAGACTGGAGAGAGTTTGATAGAGTCAATGATGTTCACTAAACGTCTCAAGAAATACAATGCTTCTGTAGAAAAAAATACTGTTGCCCCTAGCAGAAAGTCTCTGTTCTTTATGCTACTCAGTTCCACACTCAAAGACAAAAAGAAAATCACTACAATCTTATCGAACGATGGGGCTGTAGTACTGACGATTTTGAAATAGCAGAGCTATTTGCAGATGTTTTCGAAAACTCATACCAAGAAAGTGATCCTGTAGATTACAGTCAGCCTGCGTCGCGTATTCCTGTAATGAAAGAAGTATCCTGGTTCCATAGCGATGAAATTAACAAGTTGCTGATCACTTGGCCTAGCTCTAAATCACTTACTCCTGATGGCCTACCATTGAAATTCATGAAATCAATTGCGCATGTCATAGCCGAACCTCTTCAGTTCATATGTAACTTCAGTCTCATGAGAGCAGAAGTGCCAAATTAATCACGCACTTCTTATGTTATACCAATCCCTAAGAAAAGACCGTTTACTTTCCCTAGTAACTATCGACCCTTCAGTATAACGTCATTATTTGCTCGCATGTTTGAAAAGACATTGAAGAAACACATTGTCAACCATTTAGAGAGAAACAAAATCATTTCATCTTTCCAACACGATTTTCAAAGGTCAAAGTCTACCACTACGGCCATGTTGCAGACTTTGACGATTGGACACAAAATTTTGATGATGGACTCAATACCGATGTCATTTATCTTGATTTCTCTAGGCATTTGACAAGGTACCCCATGGAAGTTATTGCTAAAGTTAAAGATGATCGGCATACATCCTCGCATTATTGCTTGGATTGAAGCCTTCCTTAGGGACAGGTCTTTTCTCGAGCGAGTAAATTCTGCGTTTTCTAGACCTAGAAAGATGCGCAGCAGCGTTCCGCAAAGTGGAGTTCTCTCACCCGTGTTGTTCAATATTTATACTTATGAACTTCCCAATATTCCTATAGACTTAGGAGTCTCATGTAGGGCTTTTGCTGACGACTTCAAATTGTATACTGTTGTTATGAATGAATCCGGTTTTAACTTGCTACAGAATGCACTTAATGAAGTATATAAATGGTCGCATAGGTGGTCATTGCCTATCTCTAGGGAGAAAACAGAATTTTCCGTGTTGGACCTAGTGGCTGCAACCCAATTTGATAGAGCTTGTGTGAAGTTCCTCTCCGAGAAGTAACAAAGATACAAGACCCTGGGTTCTTAGTGACCAGCAATCTCAATTTTAGCAACCACTGCAAAATGATTGCAGACAAAGCTACCGCAGCGATAATAATCTATTCAGAGCATTTTCTAGTAGCGACACGATCATGTTTATAGCAGCATACAAATCATTTATCAGGCCTATGTTGGAATACGGAACGTCGTGTACAACGCAAGTATGCGCAAAACCAAAAATTACCTTGAGAAAGTTCAGAATAGTTTCACTAGAAAACTTATGATACGTAAGATTGGTTTTGAATACGATCTTATACCCAGTGGGAAGATTCGAAACAAGAACTTTGGGCTTTCCACATTTGCTTATAGAAGACGTAAACTCGGCCTTATTATGGCGCACAAGATTGCATATGGGGAGTGTGGTCTGGATTTCAAAACCTTTTTTCCGACTAGAGTGTCCATCACTAGGGGAGGTTTCAGGAAGTTGATCATTCCAAGGGCAAGGTTAGTCATACGTAGGAACTTTTTCGCTTGTCGTACAGTTTGTGACATGGATAGGCTAATTAGAAAGGGTATGTTTCCGCCAAAGCTATCTCAGTTCAAGACGGTTCTAAAGAGTTATCTACAGTCCATTAGCAGCGTTGATACTATAGCGGTTCTAAGAATTTTGATTTTCGTAAGATTCGTATTGTGCGTGTTTCTTGGTTCGTTATTCAGAATATTTTTTTCTGCTGCTGTTGTTGTTGGCATAGGTGGATCCTATGAAATAAATAATAATAATATAGTCCACGGTAAGAGTTGACATGATGACATATAAGGCAGGAGGTCATTTGTCATCGCCAAGCATCGCCTTCTTGTTATTCCTTCCCGGATTTCCGGTAGACATCCATATTCCTTCCCGGATTTCCGGTGGACATCCACGCAGCTTCCAATGTTTTTGTCTGAGATTTCGGTATCACACATTGAAGGCATCGTCCACCCTAAATTTAGGGTGTTGAGCTTTTGACAGCATATAATAGTAGGGCCCCCTATCAATCCAATGCCCAAGTCGCGGCGCAAATTGCCGCTTCGGAAGCGAGAAAATCGCTTCGGAATAGCGAAGATGCACGAGGACCCCCATCCATACCCGCCCATTTGCGCGCGCCCATCCAATCACCGTTCCGGAAAGCGGCCTGTGGGTTCTCCGGAATGGGTATTGTCGGTTTTCGCGCATTCTCCACTTCATATTCGGAATGATGGACAAGAGAAGGCCCTGAAACGACAAAAACATGGAAGTCGAAAATCTGGGTGGACGTTGCCTTTAATACGTGCAATTACAGTGAAATCGTCACCATTATGTGCCTCTACTCTATGTTTTCTAGCAAGGTGACGTTATCTCTCGTCCTTTGTTGCTCAAATGTTCCTTTATTATATTTAATGTTCTCCCGGTCTCACCCACATACTCACATAATCGCCGGGGGCAGGCGGTCCGCAAACTTGCACTTTTCTGCAGGCAGTCAGCAAAATTTTGGGGCGCGGCCAAACCTTCAGCGGGCGGCACTTCCCTGTTCTGCCAGCAAACAATACAAAATTTTCTGCAAACGCTCGTCAAATAATCTCTTTTAGCGGGCGTTGGCCAAACTTTCAGCAAGCGCTCGAACTCCATATACGCAGTTCGCCGAGTACAGGTAAGACTCTGTGTCGCAGAGGTGTCACCGATGGTTCAATTACCAGAGTTTGAGGCACTTTCTCAGCGGAAAGTGCCTGGAGCCGCGCGGTCTTTCACAAAGGACCGTGCGGCCCACAACAATTCTGCATATTCTCGCAGAAAGTCCGCGAGAATGCGGCCATTGGGCCGCAACTTATTTACAAAAAACCGCGGTAGTCCTCCGAGCGTTCGTCTAGAAATTGGCCAAAATTATTCCAATTTTCTGCAAAGGGACCGTAAGAAATCAGCGAACTACTTTTCCTTTGCCCGCTTGCTCAAGATTCGCTGGCCGTTGCCCCGGTGATCAAGTATGTTGTTTCACAGCTCAGGCATTCTAACTGGTAAATAGTACCCTGTGTTAACGTGCTTCACATTTCCTCTAAACAAGAAAGTTCTCTATCTAGGCTCGTAAAGTCCTTATAGTAATAAGAAAAGAGATAAAGAAATCGCTACTACAATCTCAATTTAACAGTAGTTGATTATGTGAAAAGCGAGCAGGGCTGGCAATGAGGGTGCGGAAACGTGAGCCTTTCCACTCTCTTAAAAAAGTCATGACACGAGCCGTGGTTTTCATTTGATGTTGTCAAATTCCCAAATTTACTAGGATTGCGAACGTAAAGTGTTCCAATATCTTGAAACAATGTTAGTAATGCTTTGCCAGCACGAGGTTTGAGTGAAGCTTTATTTTAACATCAGTGGCCTAACGTTTCGACTACTCGTCGTCTTCAGAGGCCTAAAGCGGTGCGGGATTAGTGATCTTATGTCTGTCCCACCAAGTGCTTTATCAACCCTCGGCTAGCTTCTCGATCCCCTTAAGAGTTACCAAGCAAAAATCGCAGGATGAGAAAGACGAAAACACCTTTGCTTCACCGCCGGTGCACTTGGTATTATGGTGCGACCGTATCCTTGATGACAGTAGTGCCAATAAGTCACATTTAGTGGTTTATTGTAGATGAAATTATCGCACTACCCTATCATAGCCCATATAATGATAAAAACGGCATGAAGTCATTCGTAACGGCTAAGCACTCGTTTTTGTGGTTCATAAGCGGTGCTTTGCGCGTGATCCAAAATGCTCCGAGAGCTTTCCGGGCAGAGGTGTCTTTCTCGTATGCCAAAATTGTACATTTAATTTCGTAGTCTTGGTCGCAGTTATGTTCATGCTTATGTTTCCCGAGAGGAGAAACCAGACTACCCTTATGTTTATTGGCAAGATGTTCTTTGATCCTGACAAAAGACTTACTGTTCCAATACCGTTTTGCTTCTCCTGTATGAACCTTCAAATCGTTATTCCAGCTTTTTGCGATTTGGTATGGAACCTGATGAGCGAATAATTTTACAATACAGCAAAATCATGCTATACCTCAGTTTTTCTGTTGATCCACCGGTGGATGACTATGAGATTTTCTACATTCTCAGATTAGTTCGCTGGAATTCATCAGATGACGCGAAAATATAGCCTTGACCTTTATGTTTACAGAATGGGCCACATAAAATGTAACTCAAAAACTGATTATAATTCTGCTCAAAACAAATTTCAAACCGTTCATTGGTAGCTATAAAAATTTTGCATAGGTCCTTTCATTTGAAAATGTCCACTACTGACTTAAATACGTTCATTCAATTACCTTCGTGAATTTACTGATATGCACGGTCATTTTCGGTATGTTGCCTCCAACGATTCGCTTTATCTGTAAAGTTTTGGAAAAGACAAGTCATGCAATTTCTGGGAGACCTCAAATCATTAAGAAATTTTGCGCTCTCAGATCCTGGCCGATAAAGGAAAACACTTACGATTAGATCTTGCATTTTTCTTAGAACCTCTTCAGAAATTTATTTATTTATTTATTTAATACGCACAAGGCGCGCCCATGCAACAGAAGAACGAAGCATTACACCAAACAACCAACAACAAAAAAAATAAAACAAAAAGGCAAACTCCCCAATGAATCAATTCAAGTCCAGTCCGCAAAACCTTTCTGGGAATGGAAAGGGAGTGAGCTTGTTTAGACATATATGAAGTCATCACAGGTATAGAGGTTCAATGGAGTCTGTCTCATGCCCCCTGCTCTTAGCAAAAAATGCTCTTACTCAACATAAGCAATTGTATATGTTGGAAGCAGGTGTATTGGTAGTAATATTGATAAAACCCGCCCAACCAAAACTCTAGGGAGAGAACAGAACTCCGATAGAAGTTGGACAATGCAAAAGTCTTAAGCCCAAACAAGCTAGCCCAAGCATAACTGAGGTGATAAGACGGAACCAGACCCAAACTAACGCGTGAGGCATGAAAGTGTTAGAAGAAAACCAAACAGAGAACGGCAATAATTTGAGCCAAGGTCCAATGAAGTGGTAGAGTCTGATCTAACATAAACTACAGTCCAACAAAGCATTCGTTCCGCATCCCTCGACCACAACCAGCCCAGAGTAAGGATCAACATGAGACAGGTAGAGTCGCGTGCCATGAAACCTTCATACGAAAAAGATAGTGAACCGCATGGACAAGAGCGAGAATCTAAAAAGAAGACTTTTGAGAGATGAAAAATAAAATAGAAGAAAAAGATGGAAAAAAAGAAGTGCAAAGAAGATCAAGCCTCAGAACCAAACCGTGGGAGAACCATAACAACCATAAGC